ACACTATGTGCCACAGTTTTGTGTTCCTCAGGATGTTTTATAGGGCGAAGCAAAAAGAGTTTTAGAAAATCTGTTACAGGTATATTTGATCCAACAACCTATAGGTTATACGATTGCCAGACACTTGCGGTATCACTCACAATAATATCATTATTCTCCTAGAAGAAAAGCTAGAAAATAAATAAAATTCTAAAAAAAACTACCCCTGACCTACCCCCAAAAATACAAACGAAAAACAACACGTCGTTGCCAGTTCGTGGGCCCTTATTCGCGGCCTATTCTGAAGCCGCTCGGAGAATAATTACGGGAAAATTGCAGATTAGCGGCGACGTCCGAAACATTTAAACGTTTCAAAGTGGGGAAAAAACAGCAGCTCGGAGCAGCAATTTACGGCTTTCATAAGACGGCGGCGCACAACCGCACGCGTTAATTGGGATTTAATTTTTCGCCCCAACGGTTATTGCAACGCCTAGCCAGGCCCGACCCCTTTTTTTGTGCCCTCTGCTGCGGCGTCGTGACCCCAGCCCAGGATGGCGCCGAAAGAGACAAGTTATGGCGGCGAACGCAGCCGCCGGTGGGGTGTTCTTGGTGTTCCTGTCCTGATGAGCGGGTGCCGGACACAGGTGTGGGCGGTTCCTGGTCTCATAAGAGAACATTCATTACATGGTTTGTAGTGCGATAAAATCTAGTTCCCACAACGAGTATTAATGTTAGATCCTCCCCCTTTTTTCAATACATTGTTACCCCCCCCCCCTTTTGTTCCACCTTGCGCACGCCACTTTTGGGGATAAGAAAAATTATTACGCCTGCTCCGGGTTGAATTTCCCATCTTCTCGCAATAAAACGACAAAAAGTGGCGCACACTGGGGGGGGAAGCCCAGCAGCGGAACGGCGCGGCGGTGGCGGCGGCATGACGGCAAGTGGAGCAGACATTGCGCCCCTTCGGACAGCGGCGGGGCGAGGGCACGTCGGCTGGTGATTCGATTTTTGTCTCTTTTCCCTTGGCAGCTCAGCCGGCCCTGCTGCCCGCCTGATTAAAAGACAAGACGAGACAGCGGCGCCCCGCCCCGCAGCCCCGCAGCCTCAGCCGCACCGTGTCGGCGCGGTGGCGGCGGCGCCCGCTGGCGGCCCGCCTGACGCCCGGCGCCCTCTGCCCGGAAGCACGAGGAATTAAAAACCCTCGGCGCGGCGCGACATCGGTGGACCATTTCGCCCCTAAGGGGAAGGGCGGCTGTTGTTATTGAGCCGCCCTTCCCCTCCCCCTGCTCTGCCCTGCTGCAGCAGCCCGAAGGCCCGCCCGGCTTGCAGCCCCAAGCTTCGTTTACGGCTAAAAAGATTATCAGCTCCTTGTCTCTGACTGGCCCCGGCCGAGGCCAGGCCCCGCGGCGCCCTGCCCTGCCCTGCCCGCGGGTCTGGTCTTCCCTTCTCCTCTCACCCTCCCTTCTCCTTCTTCTTCTTGCACTCCGTTTCTACTTTTCGCCGCGGCCCACCCCGCCGCCGCCGCCGCCGACTCTCCGGAAACACTTCGCAATCATTTAAATTTCCAACCGAGCTACGAAAGAGCGACGCCCCGCCGCCCCCCGCGTTCCTCCGCCAACGCCACGCCACGCCACTCTCCTTGTTAAATGCTTGTTCGTTTGTCTCTCCGAGGCTTTTTGTTCCCCTCGCCGCCCCTGCCAATAAGGCCCAACTTTTCTGCCGGTGACTTGGGACTCTTTGCCACCGCGCGACTTGATCCGCAGCCCGCAGCCACCCTGCCGCCCCGAGCCTCTCTTCCGCGCTCGGAAAATTGAAAAGCAACAGTCGAGCGGGGTGGAAAGTGCTGACTGCTGACCGACAGAGGATCGGAAGGGCCAGGGCCACCGCCCAGCCGACCTTAGCTGGCAGGACTTTATTCAGCAGGGCCCCGTCATGGGCCTCATGGCAACCTGGCTGAGGAGCGAGGTGCTGAGCTGGGTGCTGAGCGGGGTGCTGAGCGGGGTGCTGAGCGGGGTGCTGAGCGGAGTGCTGAGCGAGTTACAGAGCGAGAGGTGCTGAGCGGGCCGACAGCAGGGGCTTAACTGCAGCGCGGCAGGGAGTGGCGGGGCGTGGCGGAATCCCCCGGCCCGGCCTAGGCTCGCCTTAATGAAGACAAATCTTCCCTTTCCTGCTAATGAAAGAGAGAGGCGTTAGAAAGGGGGGCGGGGAGCACGGGGAGGGGTTGTTGTCCACGGCGTCGCCGCCCTTGTCGAGTTTACGCGCGCGAGATTTGAATTGACGACCGCGCGCGCCCTTGTTGGTTTGTATCCAATTCAAATGAGATTAACGCGCCCGGATGCCGCTGCTGGTCTGCCCCTCTTTTATTTTTTTATAATCACCCTGAAGTAGTAGTCACTCACCCCTCTACGTGTCCTCGTGTCGTTTGCATAATCGCCAAGGAGTCTCGAAGAGAATTTGAGGAGCAAAATGAACACAACTATTGCAGAGGTTGGGAGGTTGCACTCCGGGGGCCTCGCCCACACCGCGGGTCCCCGCACGCCCCACCGCGCCGCTCCCAGCAGAGAGCGTCTAGTGGGCTGGCAACCACCACAATCTTGGGCTGGCTGGCCGCCCTGGCTGGCCGCCGCGGGGCCGTGGCTGCCGTGGCCACAGCGCGGCGGCCCGGCGGTGGCCAAAGCCACGGGGCGTAGCGGTGAACCGGAGCCGCCCCCGGGCCCCGGCCGTGCGGGCGGGCGGCGGTGGCGCCGGCGGTGGGGCAGATGAACCTCCGGATCCCGCCCGAGGACGGTCAACAACAGGAGCAGGCCGAGCAGGCAGGAGAGTTGACGTAGCGGTTGTGAGGGGGTGGGGAGAGAGGCAGGACACGAGATGAGTCACCAGTGTACAATACTTTAATCCTGGCGACCACAACTCTGCACAGGCAGATGTGTCTGTCTAGACCCGCCAAGGCCAGCGCCACCACTACCCCCGCCCCGCTCCGCAACGCACCGCCACGCCCCGCGCAGCCGGTGGCCGCTTTCCACCGGATCCGCCGCCCCGCTCAGCACTCAGGTGGGAGTGCCTTACCCTTAGCGCCGCGCGGGTGAGGCGAGGGAGACTGCAAGGTGCTCAAGGGGCCCCGCCACGCCCCGCCACGCCCCGCCACGCCCCGCCACGCCCCGCCACGCCAAATAAGGGCCCAAGAAGGCCCCACCTTTCAGCCCCGGCCCCGGCCGCGCAGGCCGCGCCGCGCGCCCCGCAAGGCGGCTCCTAAAGGGCGCTGCATGTTTTCCGCTCTTCGTGTGATGACTCATGAATATTTATACGTTATTTGGGAGCGGCATTATAGAGCTAAAGGCTCGGGGATTTACTTCAACAACGTTTGCCACCGGCGCCTCGGCCCCGCCCCAACTTGCGGGACAAACCCCACCCCTTCGCCCTCTCAGGTCCTCCAGCTTCAGCATCGATCCGTCGGCACGATATTAGTCCGTGTGAAAAAGGTTGTTTATCTGTTTAGCAGGTTCCTTTCATCGGGGCAAACCGTCGGATGAATGCAGATTCCGGTGCACAAATGATTATTTGTGTGGCTGAAAACCCATTTTCACTTCAAAGACGACAGGCTGCAGCTACAGTATGCAGCCATGGTAAAAGCAATGCGATTATTGCAATGCGAATAAGTAGGAGAGAGGGGTAGAAAGGAACGGTAGGAAAAATAGTTATGGAAACGAAAACAATCATCCAAAATTTGATCAGTGAGCAGTACTTGACTTTGTTGTGAGGATTAAGTTTGTTTGGTAGGCTAAATTCGATAGCTGGAATCCTGAATCCGACACCCACCGCCGGGCACTTGTACTAGTAGAACAAACTCCAGGTTGGTTCTATATTCGTACAAATGTCGGGTCGTGACAACCAACTCCTGGTTGTGGGTATCGGATTCTAGATCCCAGCTATCGAATTTAGCTTACCAAACAGAACTGATACCCACCAATAAAGGCTTTATTTTCGTGAACACATATTCTATAAATTCTACAAATTCTACAAATATCTGTTCAATTCGACAGCAGCTTAACGGCATATGAGTGGGGCTGGGGGGGTCGGTGGCCCTGTCACCCCCTGTTTTATCCCCCTCCCCCTTCCCCTTGCCAACTCCGGCCCCGCTCGCCCAACGCTATCACCCCCTTATCACACCCTAACTCCCCGCGCCGGTAATC